CAGAGCCTGAAAATCTTCGCTGGACCCCCAGGGTGGGGCCTGAGCGTGGCCGGCAGCTCCCTCCCTCTCTCCTCTCCTTAAAGAGGGTCAGATTGTGCAGGCTGCCAAGCTCCCACCCTCTGGGGCTTACCACAAAGAGGGGTAAATGGCGACCCACCAGGGAGACGCTGGGGGGGGGGGTCCAGTTGGCAGTGGAGGGTCCAGCTGCAGAGGACTTGGGCTTGGGCGTTCTTCCTGGGGTGGGGCCTGAGTCAGCGGTGAGCAGGTGCCCAGGTCTTCCTGGGGCTCACTGACAGGGAGGGAGGCTCACCCGGGCCTGTTGTGGGCAAGCTCGAAGCTGCCTCCGGGGGCCTGCACCCAGGGTGGAGCCAGGGCACCGGATTACAGGGACGGAGGAATGTGGAGCCGGTGCTCTGGGCCCTCGTGTCCAGGGCGCGTGGGTGGGGGTCAGTGCGGGGTGGGGCCCGTGCCCCCTGGTGGGCTGGAGAGGGCCTTCGCCTGCTAGAGAGACTGGGGAAGGAGGCAGGCACGGTCATTCATGCCTCCATTCACTCATTCATTTCCTAGCTGTGATGGAGTGCCAGGTGGGGGGGCTGACCAGGGATGAGAGAGTGAGGAGATGCAGGAGGGGGTGCCAGGGACACAGAGGGAGGGCGGGGGTGGGGAACACTGCTGGAGGAGGCAACAGGGGTCAAATGAAAGAAGAAAGCAGAAGAGGCAGGCAAAGGGCGCAGAGACAGGGGAGGCTGAGGCTGAGCCAGAGCCAGCCACGGCACCAGCTTGGGGTGGGACGCCCCCTGCCCGCCGGGGAGACCACAGGTGTCTGGGCCTGGGGGCCGGTGCCGAGGACAGAGGCCCGTGGTCCACTGTGGAGGAGGGTGGCGGGCAGGGCCTGGAGTGAGCGAGAAGTCTAGGGCACGGCCCCTCCCCCTCCAGGCTCCTTCCCATCTAGGTCATGAGGATGGGGTGGCTCTGGCTGTCAGGGCCCAGAGGGAGCTCCCCTCCCCCATCGCACTCTGCCCAGCCCCCTCCTCTCCCGTGGCCCCAGGCCCAGGGCAGGGGTGGGGGGCGTGGGGGGAGAAGAAGAAGGAAACAGGAAGGAAGGGCCCGGCCGCCAGAGCCAGAGCGAGAGGGCAGGTCCTGGCGTGTTGGGGCAGGATGGCTGCGGAGACGGAGCCCAGCCGCGGGGCCTGGGGTGGACAGTTTCCCACCCCTTCTTCTCCCTGGTCCCCCATCTGCAGCCCTCAGGTTCCCACCTCCAGCACACACACCTCGAAGCTACACCCACCATCTTGTCCCCCCACCCCGCCCCCCCACTTCCTCTTCTCCGGGGTCCAGAGGGATGTCGGGGAGCCTGAGCCCCGCGTGGGGGACGGCGCAGGGTGGGGGTGGGGGTGGGGGCCCCGGGTCAGAACCTTTCCTCAACTCTGCAGGCCTGGACCAGCCCCCACCCGTCTCCCGTAGACGGTCATATAATATTCATGAGCCTCATGAATACGCATATTCTCATTATGGGGCGGGGGGCGCGCAGCACTCTGCCTCCCCCTTGGCCACTCTCGAGATTACCCCGAGAGGCAGCAGCTTGGGGAAGAGAAGACGCGACCCCAGATGTGGAGCCAGGGGAAGGGGGAGGGGGAGCCGGCAGCTGACGGGCGGCCGCAGCACCGCGGTGCGGGGGGTTGGGGGGCGCCCTACTGGGGGGGCCCAGGAGCCTGGACCCACAGCGGCCACTCACCGAGGATCATGCTGGGGACCCAGGCGCCCGGGGTTCCGCGTCGCTCTGTCCCGGGGGCCGTTCTGGTCGGGCTGGGGTACGGGGGGGCGGAGTCAGGGGAGGAGCGGGGCCGGCCGAGGCGGAGCGGGGGCGGAGCCCGCAGCAGGTGAAGCGGGAGGCGGGGCCGGCACCTCCGGCCGGGGAGGGGCGGCCTGCTTGCTGCTCGCCCTTCCCGCTGGCGGCTTCTTTTGCTTGCGGCCCCTAGTTGTCCTGGATTTGCGGTGTCACAGCAGCAGGGGGAGCCAGGAGGGGTTGGGGGTGCTGGGGGGCGGGGGTGTGCAGTAAGACATCTAGACGACGGTGCGAGCTGGATGCTAAGCTCCTGGGTCCCTGGGACCCAGGATATCAGGTGGGAGACCCCTGAACCCCGAGAGGGATGGGGCCTGGGTTGGGGTGCCCCGTGCTCGCCAGTGGAGGGCTGGGGGAGGGGTTGCAGAGCCTGGGTTCTAGTTTGTTTCTCTGACTTTGGAGCTCCGTGCCTGGGTCTGGAGCTCAGCAGAGATGCAGGGTTTCAGGTGGGGTCTGAATGCCTCGTTCCTTGGGGAAGCTCTGAGCGAAGAGATGTGTGGTCCATGGACCCAGAGTGACAGAAAAGGAGCTTGCAACCGATTGTGGTGGTCAGCCGCGTAGCCCCCGCGGAGCTGAGCATCAGCCTTGGAGATGGGACTGGGGAGTGTGGCACCTGCCTGGGCCGAAGCCAGGGCGCCTCGCATGGCCAGCCTGACTGGAGACGACTGGGAGGGGCTGATGAGGCAGCGCCAAGGAGTGTGGAGGCTGGGCAGAATGTGTGGGCTGGGAGGATGCACACGGTTGCAGGGGTTGCAGGAGTCTGGGCCCTGGGTGCTTTTTCTGGATGCCTGGGGTGGGGGTGGGGGTGCTTGTCTGAAGATGGGCAACTGCAACCCCAGCATGAGCTGGAGTCTGGGAGTCTGGGAGGTGTCTGGGGATGATGCAGCTGCTGCAGCCTGGACCTGCCTGTACCTGCCCCAAGAGAGGGTGGCAGGAGCATTTCCCACAATGCCATGCAGCCAGAGCCAGGCCAACCCCAGTCAGAGGAGGTGTGACTGGAACTGGCACACTGGGATTCAGGGAAGGGGAGACCGGGAGGAAGGGGCCGGTGGGCGGACTGGAGCCTGCTGGGGACGGGGCTGGCATTCCTGGGTTCTGGAGGGAAGTTGGAACTCAGTGTCTAATTAAGTTACAGGAAGTTCAGGTTCCTGTTTCTGGGCCTCAGCAGTGTCTTGCCCTCACTCCACCGATTTGGTTTGGAGAAAGCTGTTTGTGCACCTGCCCTAGCCAAGGGCAAGAGAATGCTGAAGGGGGACGCCTGACGTCCAGTGACCCAGAGATCTTGGGGGGCGGTAGCCCTGCTGCCCACGTCTGGCCTCAGGGGGTTCTGGGGCCCATCGGAGGAGTTTCTCCGGGTCCAGATCCAACTTACCCCAGGCCGTTCACCCAGGTGAACCTGCCTCTCCCAGACCTCTTATCCACCCCCCCCCCATCCTCCTGGACTCCCGACTCCCCCCTACTCTCCCCCAGTCAGTTGTGACAAGGAGCAGCCTGGTCATCATGGAGACCCCTTTCTTTCCTGGTCTTTGTCCCCCACCCCCACCTTGCCCTCAGGGACTCAGAGTTAGGGAAGTCTCAGAGGTGGGGTTGCTCAGCTTACCAAGGGGATACAGCTGGCTGGAGGGTGGGGTGACCTTGCAGGCAGCTGCTGGGGGGGCAGTGTGCAGGGTGAATTCATTATTGATGAGCCCTGCACCCCGGGCTACTAATGAGCTCAGGCCGGCTGCTCTAATTGATGTCAAGAAACTTGAGACCCCCAGATCAGCTTCCCGCCTGCCAGCTGCCTCTCCTGAGCCCCCTCCCCCACTCTGAACCCCCAGCTGCTCTGTTTCCTTCTAGGGGCCCTTCTTTCTATTTCTACCAACATAGGCAAGGACTCCATAGCACCCCCCCCCATCCCCCCCTCCGTCCCCCGGACCACTCGGTCTCAAGTTGGGAGGCAGATTGGCCAGCAGGGGCTGGGAGACTCGAGAGGGGAATGGACTGGAGTCACAGAATCACAGTCCAGGGGTAGCGAGGAGGCGGGTGCTAGATTACATCTGCAGCTCTTCTGAGCGGGAGGAGACCCCTCCTAGGCTGTGCATCCCTGGGGGCGCTGGGGCTCTCCCGGGACCCCTTACGGGCAGGCCAGGCGCCAGCCAGAGGCACAGCAGGTCGCCAGCCCGAGGCCCACTGTCCCTTCCTTGCCCGTCTCACAGGCATGTAAGAGACCTCAGCTCTGGCCCAGGCGGGGGCTGACGCCACTCCCACCCTCCCCCAAGCGGGGCCATGGGATTTCCTGCCTGAGAACTCCCAGTGCCTTGTTACGCCACGCCGCCACGCCTGGAGAGCCCTGCTCTCTGCCTCATCAGTCTCGCCAGCCCCTCTGCATCTGGGGCTCTGCGGCTCGGAGTCGCCCCGCGGTCGGGAGAGCAGCGGGGACCTGACTCCCTTCCCGAATCCCTGCGCGGCCGCCGCTGCTGCCCCCTGCAGGCCGACTCGGGTCTAGCGGGCGAGACGCGGTTCACCTCGCCCAGCCGGGCAGCGGGGCTCGTCCTCCCGCCTCGGGCTGCAGGGGGGGACCGCCCTGCAGGAGCCAGGAGGGGCCTCGCTCCGCTCTCTCACCAGAGACCCCCACGCCACGGTTCAAGGACGCGGCCTTTCACAGCCAGGCAAGGCTGGGCTTGACTCTGCCCAGCCCTTCACCCTATGACCTTGGCGAGCTGCAGAGCTCCCTGGACCTTAATTTCCCCGCGGTTAGTGGGGTTGGTAGGAGCACCCCCTCTGCCACCAGCATACAAAGAGCAATGAAAGCAAAACAAGACTCGGCTTTCTCCTAGTTTTATGGCTTTCCACGCGCGGGCGGATTCACGCCACTATTCTGACTGAGGAATAGGGGCGCCTCCCGACCATCGCCCCAACTTCCACTTGGGCCTCCCCTTCCGTATTCATGCCTCGAGGCTGCAGAGAAGTGCAGAGAAGGGATTCCTTTCCCTTCCCTCCCGGAGGTGCTGGGGGCATGGGCACAGTACTGAAGCCCCTTTCCCAGCCCTCAACACTAGCTCCGCAGTTCTGGGTGGCCACGCTCCGGGCTCCCGGTGAGAAAGGCCCCTCCTACCCCACACCCTGCGGTTTCAGGATGGGTGTAGAAAGAGTGGGAGAAGACACGGATTCCAGCTCTGGTCAGTAGGGGCTCTGGGCCGGGTTTATTGCACTTGCAACAGAGTTTAAATAAGTCCCGGGGGTCCGGAGCTGAGGGGAGGGGAGGGCTGGACAGGAAGACGAGGGGCAGCGTCAGTGCAGCTGGTGGGCAGAACCCAAATCCTGCAGGCCCAGGACCTCCGGCTCCCGGCTCCGGGGGCCTGGGAGGGCCTGCGTCTGGCCAGGCTGAGGTTCCAGAAAAGTTGCCATCATGGCCTTGTCGCGTCCTGGGCAATTTCTGACTCCTCCCGAGTCAGGTGTGGGCTGGGCCCTCTGGGGCGGACTCCGCGTGGCTCCGGACGTGGCTGGTTACACAACCGTGGTCCCGGGTCACTCGTGGGCCCCCGCTTCGGGCTGGCCCCATTAGAGTTCTGGTTCCTCCTCGAGCTGGTCTGGGCCCGCACTGACCCTTGTCTGGGATCTCTCCTGAGCTGGCGCGGGGCACCGTCCGCGGTTAGTGTTCCTTGTCGGCCGCCGGGGAGGGGCTGTCTGGAGCTGCCAGGTCTCACTCCCCGGGGTTCAGGTTCTTGGCGAGGGGCTTTGTGTGGATCTCTGGCAAGGCCCGGGGCCAAGCTTTGCAGGCTGGAGCTGGACAGGAAGTCCCGGTGACACATCTGGCCCAGAGAACTGGGGCTGGATCTCCCAGTTAGGGTTCCAAGTTGTTTTTGGGAAACTCTCTCCAAAACGCAATGGCTGCAGGGAGGCTGGGGCCTCTGTCCCTGGATCTGAGTTTCCCCACGCATGGGGGGGGGCATGTGTAAACAAGGGTCCTTCACAGTGCATGGGGGGAGGGGTCCCCAGCTCCTCACCTCCCCGGCTCTGGCCCTTCAAGTATGTCTCTGGGCTGGGGAGACACTTCTCCCTGGCCCTCAGCACCTACAGGAAGCGCCCAGCCCCCTCCCTTTCAGTAGACTGAGGGTGCGGGGGACTGGGCCTTCAGGACTGGGATTCTGGGATTGGGAGGAGTCAGGCATCAGAGGTGGCTGGAGGCTTGAGCTGAGCTTTTTCCATGGCCGTGCCGTAAGGGAGGGAGCGTTTGAAGAATCCGAGCTAGTGAGGGGGAAAGGAGGAAGAGTTTAGAGATGCTGACTCCCTTTTCCCTCCAGATCTTACTCCAAGAGGGGATGAAGGGACTCAGTGGCCCCCTGGCAGAAAGCCTCGCTGAGAGGCCCAGGGGCAGGAGGACCGAGGCTGGGCTGCTTGGGACTGGGGCGGGTTTCGCATCAGTGCCACGGCAATGCCCTCACTTTCGCCAAGCCCAAGAGGTTAGCAGTAGCTGCCTCTTGAGAAGGATCCTGAGGCCACTTCCAGGATATGGACAATTAGTGATGGCTGGCAGGAGGGAGGGAAGAGACAGTATGGAGGCTGCGTATTTGCAGGCTGCAGGTGCAGTGATGTTGCAGGACAGGCAAGCTCACACGGCTGAGTCGAGACCTTCCAAGCCTAGGCAACCGGTCCACAAGGAGATACCGGACGGTGCTGGTCGGGGGAAGCCCGAGGAGAGCCCGGCCCATCCTGGGCAGGACGTGGCTGACCTTGTAGAGAATGTAGATGAGCAGACCAAGCAGCAGGAGACCAAAGAGGATGGCGAGGATGATGATCCACAGCGGGACGCCCTGGCTGCCTTCTGCCTTGATCCACTGCACAGCCGTGGCCACCTGGGACAAGGCAGCAGGGGTCACCGAACACCCCTTCGTTCTCCCACCCGGCCTGCTGCCGGACCTAGGCCCAAGCTCGCCTCCATCTGGTGCTAAGAGGATCCTGCACTTCACTAGTGACGTTCCAACGACGTGCACGATTGTCTCTGACTTTGGGGGCCCCACCCCTGCTTCTCCCCTCAGCAGAGACTACTCCGTTCCTGGCTGGTGAGCCTGCTAGTTCCTACTGATTACATCAGCTGGCTTCAGCCGAAACATCACCTCTTCCAGGAAGCCCTTCTTGGCTGCGGAAGGCAGTGTCCCAGTGCACCTGCCACGTGTCCCCTGAACGCCCTCACGCCTGTCTCCCACTCTCGCTGCCGCCTGCTGTCCCGCTTGCTTACCCTCGACCCCCAACGCCCACTCGGCGGCTCCGTAGTCTCCGCACGAGTACCAGGCCAGCTGCTCCCATATCCTGTCCTGGGCCAGGCCAGGCTCTCCGAGTCCTGTGTCCCCCTTGGCCCGGCCTCTGGTCCTGGACTCACCTGAAGTTCCTTTTGAGGAAGCTGCCGAGGCAGGATCCGGTAGGGCATCTTCAGAGCCTCGTACACAGCTTCACACTGCAGGCTAAATGCCTGCTGCTCTCGCTGTGGGAGAGGAAACGGAACCTTGAGGACAGCCCCTGATGGCATCTAAGGGCATGGGGTGCCCCCAAGGTCTGGCTCAGGTCATAATCTTCCCCAATGTGCGACTCACTCTCCCCTGAGTCTCCATGTCCCTTCTATAAGAATAACACTTGTATAATTACATAAGCACTTTGTTTCATCAGCTACCTGCTTGTTCAATAGTATTTTTTCGAATCATTAACGTGGGCCAAGCGCCCAGGATTAAGCCTGGCTGGGAGCATACTCTCAAGGGAATGACTACTCTTTGCTGCCCCTACGCCTGCTTGCTCCATCTTCCATCTGTTTTCTATCCTCTGCACGCGACCACTGACCTCCCCCAACTCCCTCCTGGGTCTGAATGGCCCAGGACAGGGGGGGCTGCCACTACCAGTGCGGCCACGAGGTGGCGCCAGGGACCCACAACCTTGTCCAAACCAGGGCCGGGAGTGGAGGCTGCAGCCGGGTCTCATTCCCCAGAGGCCGCGGCCAGGCTGTGGGGAAGGAGAGGGTCAGCCCGGCGGGGTCGGAGGTCAGGGCTGAGGTCAGGTGTCCTCACATTCAGGAAGGTTTTGGCCCAGACTCGAAAATGCAGTTGCAGACTCCAGCTTTCCTGCCGGTGCAGCGGCCCCAGCTCACAGCGCAGCGTGAGACACTTCTCCTCCCGGCATTTCTGGGAAGAAGAGCAGATTGCAGCCCCGTTCTGCTGTTCTGGTGGCCCCGAGGCCCCCATGGCACCGGGGCGCGCACCCTCACCCCGTGGCCACTCACCAGGACCTTGGGCCCCGGGGGGGCAGGGCCCCGGTGTGGAGATTCCCGGCGGTGGAGCTGGTGAGGCTGCGAACCCTCGGGGTCCAGCTGGAAGAGGCAAGAGCCCGCTGACTCCCTCCTCAGGGCAGCAGCTAGGTCGTCTACACCGGGCTCGGACCCCTTCATCCACCCAGCCCAGCACCTCCTGTGCCAAGGCACCCAGCCCGCACCGAAACATGGGGGTGAACCAGACGCGGCGCTGGGGGTTGACGTGGAGTAACGGGGTTGTCTGGGTCCCCCCTTGCCCTCTGCCGGGGACCGTTGGCTCATCCTTGTCGCTCAGGGCTGAGTTCCCTATCGGCCCCTCACGGTCTCAGGCCCCCTGTCTCCGACCTCTCCTGTCTCCCCGCTGCTCCCCTCAGCAGTGGATTTCAGTCGATCTGCCTGTTCTGCTCCCCACTGTCTCTGGTGTAACCCTCAAGCCCCTATACCTCTGGCCTGTACCCCAGCTCTTGTACCCAGCTCCGCACGTCCCCAGGGGCTCTTCGAGGCCTCAGGGCCCCTCCCCACCTTCTGGGCTCGATCTGGGAAGCTGCCCTTGGGTCAGACTCACCTTCAGCCCCTGGAGGTTGGGGCTGTGGCTGGCAGTGCAGTTGCCGAACCCCGTGACCCGGGTCATGTAGAGAAGGGGCTGGTCCTCCAGGGCCAGGGGGCAGCTGACCCTCAGCACGCCCTGGCTGATGGAGCTGGGGCCCTGGTTGATGAGCTGCAGGGGCAGGAGGGGCAGCTGAGCCGGGGGCACCCGGCCGGTCACCCGGGCCTCTGCCCGGCGGGGTGAGGAGGGACTCAGTGAGCAGAGACAAAGCCCCTCTGGCCCCCGCTCGGGGAACGGCGACTCCCTCCTCCCCAGGCCCCTCAGGGCCTGTCCCCCCCCCGCCCTCCCAGCCCCGGCCCCCGGCCCCCTCACCTCGTAGACATGCTGCACGGAGGGGCCCACGTCCCCCTCCTCCTGAGGCTGGTCCCGGGGGTGCCAGTCACTCACGGGGAAGAGCACTGCCTCGGGCTTGGAGACGCTGAGGGGAAGGTGATTTAGAGGCCCCGAGCACCCCCTCCCGACACCGGTCCCCTCCCCGAGGGCCCATCTGCCCGGCGGCCGGCACTGACCCGTTGAGGGAGACCTGGGCGTGAGCCTCCACCGAGAGCCGGAAGGAAACCACGTCGCTCTGCGAGTTGTTGAGATTCTTGCTGTGGGGGAGGAGCAGGGGCTGAAGGCCCGATGGCCACGCAGCCCCGTGGGAGGCTGGCCTGCCCCGCGCCCACCGCCCGCGCCCTACCTGAGGATCTGGAAGTCAAACTGGATGGTCTTCTTCGAGTCCCGGAGGTGAGGGACTGTGAATCGAAGGCCACCCCAGAGCTGAGGGACAGGGAGGGACAGGGGGCCGTCACACGCCGCGTCGGGCACCGGTGTCTCCCCAGCCCGCGGCCTCCTGCCCTGCCCAGGGCCCTGCCGGCCGGCCGGTCCCGCTGACGCCTGACTTACGTCGGCCCCGGCCTTCATGGGGTTCCCCAGGTCACACACCAGCAGGCGGCTCTGGTTCACCGCAAAGTAGTCGCAGCTCAGGCTGGAGAAGTTCTGGGGGGGTTTGCTCGGGTCAGGCTTGGGGTTTGGGGCCCCGGGCGGGGGTGGTGGTGGTGGGGCTCCTCCCCGCCAGCCTGGGGCGCCCTCTCACCCCTGGGTGGCGCACGAGCCCCGAGTACTCAGCCTCTGGGGGTGCCGTCACGCGGAGCTCAGCCTCGTAGGCGCCGCCCTCACCCACGTTCTGGGCGTGGAAAGTCAGGTTCAGGGAGTTCTTGTCGCCGAGGTACACGCGGTTCTGCTCCCTGGAGGGGTACACGGCGGAAGGGTGTCGGGACCCAGCCTGCACCCTGGACAGCAGGTCCTCACAGCCGGCACAGACCGGCTCACAGGCCCGCTGACCGCGCCCAGCTCGGGCACAGGCCGGGGGGGGGGAGGGGACGCCTTGTGTATGTCACTTCCCCCGATGCCTCCAGAGAGCCCGGAGGGGCTTTCTGCGGGGCGCCAGAAGCCCCTAGGACCCCGTGCGCGGCGGGGGGATTTGGTGTCCGGAACCCCCAGCTGGACTCGGAACTTACCCAAACACTTCCAGCTGCAGGTCCGGGACGCAGATGTTGTCCTCGCCGCAGTCCAGCAAGATCTGAGCCTGGGAAGCGGGGCGGCCTTGAGAGGGGGAGCTGGACCCCTCTGGGCTTGGGCTTCCCGCCCCCACTGGGGCCGCCCAGGCGCCCCGCGCCCCCGTCCTCACCTTGTCTTCTATGCGGCTCTTGCTCTGGTAGTGTAAGACTGGCTGGAGGCCATGGCTGTCCACAGGGGCTTGGGGGTCCAGGGAGAAGTTGAGGGCGATGTGAATCGGGGAGAGTTTGTCTCGGAACTCGGACTCGTTCTGGGGCCAGGAGACGCAGTCAGGCGTCGGGGGACGCCGGGGCCGGCAGCTGCCTCCCCGCTCCTTGGCGCGGGGCTGTGTCTGACCGCCCCGCTGTGTCTCAGCGGCCTGGCGGCTCGGCTCCCAGCACCCCGCTCCCCCAAAGCCCCCCGTCCTTCACCAGAGTTCCCTCCCGCTCCGGGGGCCTGTGGTGCTGGGACCTGCCCTCCTTGGGCACCTCTGGGCCACCCCGGGGGGCCGTACCCTGAGGTAGATCTTCATCTCCCTGCAGTCCTCGCGGGCGCCGTTCTGGACGAGGAGGGTCTGGATCAGGGTGGGCTGCCTGGATGCCAGGAACAGGGCCCGCCGGACGCCGCCTTTCTGCTTCTGCCAGTCCAGCTGCAGCTCCACCGTGAAGCCTGTAGCCAGGAGGCAGTTAGGGGGAGCGGACCGCCCTCATCTCCCCAGACGCAAGGGCGGTCCCCAGGTCCCCGCCCAGTGCCTGAGGAGTCCAGATGTTTCCCCTCACCAATGGAGTCAGGGACGTGTTTCCCAGAAGCATTGAGGCAGAAGCTGAGGTTGATGCTGGAGGGAGACAGGAAGAAGGCGGGTGTAGCCGACCGGAAAAGCGCGCTACCTTCCACCTGGACACCCCTTTAGTTCCCTCCCAGGCCAGACCTGGTCCCCCGCCCACTCCCGGCACAGGCCCAGCCACCCCAGGCCGCAACCTGGGCCCCAGCTCACCAGGCCACGGGGTTCCCCTCCAAGCTGCAGCTGCGTTCTTCTGGGTTAAACAAGGCCGGGAAGATGGTGAGGGAGGCGCTGGCAGACACGATGGGGCGGCCCCTGGCAAGAGCAGGTGCAAGGGGATGGGACTCAGAACCTGGGCGCGGCACGCTGAGGCCC